AAAATTGCATTGTTAGTGAAAGTTGTCTTAATTAAACTAGAAATGCAATTAAAAAGCTGTGGTAAACTTTTTTTCCGGCGCCAACTTAGTTGTGGTAAAATCTCATTAATTTTATTCAGCGCTCATTGAATTGAATATTTAACAAATTGTTACTTCGGAAGTTAATTTAATATCACGTTTTTTTTTTTAATGAATGCATGCGGATGCCATCTCAAGCGAACGCTATAAAATCCAACCACTTATTTCTTTGAATTTGTGGCACTGCCACTTTTGCAAACATTTTGAAGCAAGCATTTAGTATTTGCAGCTAAGTGCCTACTAGTTGGAGTTTGTATAGTACGGTGATGCTATTTCCGTATACTACATGCTACATGCCAAACAAAGCGGTAGAAGTAGATATTAACCAGTTTGGCTGCAGTAAATTTGGTAGAGAAATATGTGGCCGCCGCTTTGGTGCTCAGACTAAAAATTATGGTACTATGGAAGGATAGGCGGTTAGGCAATGCTTCTATACCTCACATTCTGGGTAGTTATAGCCAATTAATCGACTACTTCGCCCCTAAACCCATCTTCGATAGTGTCCTTAAGACGAGCATCCCGTCAATAAGAGAATAGCAGACACCAGGACCATGGCGAAGGGAGAGTTACATTTTTACACGGATTGATCCAAGCCGCACAATATCGTTGGCTACGGACTTTTCTCTAAAGAACTAGAATTGAAATTTTCGTCTAAATTCCAGACCACTGCAGCGTTTATCAGCCAAAAGTTTTAGCTAGTGCATATGCCGTAGCGAAGACTACGATTAATATCTTCTCGGATAGCCAGGCGGCCATCAAATCATTGACCGTTGTAATGCTAAAATCTAAGGTTGCACAGGAAAGCCGCACAGCTCTAAATGATATTGGCGCGGTATTCAAGAACAGCCTCATATGATTCCCGATGAGCTAGCCAGGCAAGGTACCAATCTTTCACTACGTGAAAACTGAACAAAAATTGGAATACACTTGCCAAGTCAAGAGGCCAATTGGTTGTGTGTATATGAGTGCACTCGTTTAGCAACTTGGCTACTATAGCCACAAATAGGTAAAAACTAGTAATTTTTAGCAAAAAAAAACCGACTTCAACTCTCATATAAAAAAAAAATATATATATATATATCTCATGATCCGCTGATCGGATCTTAACCAGATTAGTATGGGACCACCTCTGAGACACTACCTTTCCGATGCAAAAAGAATTATCGAAATCGGTTGACGTGGTCCAAAGTTATGCGGTAACATACATAAAAAAATAAAATAAAAAAAAATATTCCGACGAACTGATAACCTCCTCCTTTTTTGGAAGTCGGTTAAAAAATAACGAAAGAACTGCTTAGCTTCTCAAGAGAGGATATTCCGATGGTCACGGCTTGTCTAATCGATCATTGGCTATTTTGTAGGCACTCTTCGAGACTAGGAATATACTCCTGCGAATATTTCAGAAGTTTAAGAGATAAGGAAGAGGAAGATACAGTCGAGCGCTTCTTCTGAAATTTCCCAGCTTTGGCCAAGAGCAGAGCATGCTTTTTAGGTAGGCACTTCTTTCGCTCTCTTATGGAATTATCCGGCGTAGGACTTAAGCCAATTCATTCGCTTCACTAGAGCTTTAATATAGTTCTATGGAAAATAGTCACTGAGTTTCCCGTGGTGCTTTGGCACCGATGACCAATATTAACTAGTTTTCTCTCGAGGCGAATCAAACATCTGAATTGGCTAACTTCACCACGCACGGGCATTGGAGATGGAACAGTTGGACTTTCTGAATCTGATTATTCTCTATTTTCCCATGCTAAAGAGACACTCACAGAGAGCAATCGGAATGGACAACATGGCATCTGGGTGGAAATATTTTTATTTCGAGTTATTTGCCATACACTATGCTGGGTCTAACAAAAGTGTTAAACCTTCAACACTTAAGAACTTTAATTAAGCTCATCTTTCCAAGAATAACTCTCCATCTCAGATACGATACTCGGAACAAAATAAAATTGTATCTCTCCAAAAAAAATATAAATGCTCTATAGGAGAAACCAGCTTTTTCAACTGTAGCGAGTTACCGCTTAAGACGTATAAGCCAACCGCGATCGATTAGTCTTTTATTCCAGTAGGCGGAAGACATCAATTTGATCGCAATGGTACAAATTTTATTTTGATTAAAATAGCAGAAGATTCAGAGCCACTGTTGAACAGGCTGTGGGACAGCCACAGCGACGGCTCTTTAAATTTCAGTAAGTTTTTGAACCATGTAAGCATGAATGAAGGCTGACAAAACCAATCCTTCATATGACATAGTAGACAAACTGCGTATGCACACTTAAACTTTTGCTCAGGCAAATGCGACTAGTATTTTTTACATACATTTTTTTGGAAAATTTTGCATCATAACAAATTGTAGTATTTCATTTCTATTCCATTTTCATTTTTCTGGACTAGTATTTTGGTCATTTTATATTCCGAAATGGCACAGTTGGCCCTGAAATAATGTTTACCACAAGCCGATCATTTAGATAAATATTTTTAATGCCTAATATGCATACGGAAATACATACATAAGTGTGTATATTAGGGTGTATCACTCTCCAAGCAAAAAAAAAAATAGGTACGACTTTTCTATAGGATTATAAAATTTAATATTTTTGGCCCAGCTCACTTAAATCCTAATATTTCTTCGTCTTAAAATTTAATACATTTTATAATTCCCGTGAAAAATCCGCAACATTTTTTGATGAGGCATCCTAATGTAGGTACATATGTTGATTATATGTATATACATATGCGCATAAACATATTGGTGATTAAAATGCAATTGTTAAACATACATCCATACATTCGAGCAGTTAAGTACTCGTACAATATTAAATGCTATTCGAGAAGAAAGTTTGCATTCCTATAATCTCGCACATTATGTATTCGTATAAACATTCAAAAACGAAAAATCTCTATTACGCCTACATACTACATTTATTTACAGAAAAAATTTTATTCAGTTTGGAATTAATGTTCAAATTTCCAGACATTTTGTTTAATTCAACAACAAAAAAGTAACTAATTAGAGTTATCAGAAAAAAGTGATCAAAATGATTTCGGAAAAATTTATGCTAGAGATACCTACTACTAACATAAACATAACAACAAAAATATGTCATATTTTGTTGTAAATATTTGGAGTTAACTGCTTAAATACTAGCACAAGTAAAAAGTTCAAAAGTCGTATATATATAATTATTTTTTTTTTGTAAGTATTACATATGTATACATTTATTTACATATTATAATTAATTGATAAACCTACCTACCTGCCTAGCAAAATTATATTTACACACAATTACAAAAATCATTTTGCCGGCCAATTGTACTAACCGATTCACAAAAAATAGTTTTGTAACAACTATCAAGCGTACAATTTAATTGTTTTAATGCGATTGGCATAATGCGATAAAACGAATTTACTTACAAACCAACAGTCGCGTAAATTACATACAAACATAATTAATTACTTACTTAACTACCTAATTACCTTTGATACGTACGCAAACACGCAATTATTTTATCTAACATATCGAGTATATGTATATCGAGTACTAGTTACCCATAACAGCTGGTATTTATATTTATTAATATATATAGTATATATGTATATACTTGCATATCCTACTAACAGTATTTTTGAAACCAGTAAATTGATTTGAAAAAACCCGAAAGCAATAATGGAGCAAATAGTTGGCAGGAGCAGCAAAAAAAAAAATTAGCTGAGCGTGAAAAAATATAACGCCCATCACAGCTGCAGCGCGGAACTGTTTGTTCGATTATTGTTTTTCATTTTACAGCCAAACGAATTGAGTTGAATTGCATAGTTGCAGCAAAATGTATTAATTGAATTAAAAATATTGATGAATTACTTATGTAAGTAGGCGGTAATTATTATGATTCTTGTTATTATTAATATTACTACGATTATAACGTATTAATATACATATGTATTTATATGTATGTATCTATGAAATTTCACTGTTGACTTTACTGATATTTACCGAATTTTTACGCAAACGACGCAGTCGTATTGTATTCTTTGATTTCTTGTTTTTTTTTGTACAACATAAACTTTTCTTATTTACATTGTGAATAATTTTATTTTGATACCATTGCATTTCATTCATAAAACAACCGAAGGTATTCGCTCAATAACATAAAATCTTTTTTATATTTCGCAACAAAATTTTTCCTTAATCCTTCACACCAACACCAACTATCCAAAATTCATCCGACTCCGAATCTGCTTCCGTCTCCGTCTCCGTCTCCGTCACGGACACCAACACAACAACTGTGCAACGGTGTGTGTCCGTGCTTATACAACTCGCGTCTGTGTGTGTTGGTGCCAAATTGCTAATTGGTGGCCGTTAACATATCAAAATGAAACGAAACGAACCGTACCGAAACCGTGTGCTCAAATTGAAATTGAAATCAATCGCAATGAATTGCAATACTGCTGCGCTTACAAAACAAAACCCCAAAAAAACACGAAAACTGAAAACCCAACCAAAAACAAAATCGAATACAAAAAAAAAAATACAATAAAATCAAATCAAAATATGCGAAATGGGTTTGTTGCCACTACTCTGCCAAACACTGCTGCTACTGCCACCATCGTCACTACTTCCGCCTCCATCTGCGCTGCGGCTGGGCCCCCACTCGCACACACTCTCGCCACGTCACTGTGGTTGTTGGGTGGGGCGCTCGCTGGATAATAACTTGACTTGGACTTTGCTGCTGCTGCTATTGATGACGTCAACGCCATTGTGTTTTGTACGCCTTTGACCTCATCGCGCGCCGCAACATCCATCGAATGATGATGTATTGCAATTGCCATTGCCCGCCATTGTGATTGCGATTGATATAAATATTTGGATATTGGAAATCGTGCGATTCGTTGTGCAACAACTGAAAAACTTTCTCACCAAAAGGTGTCTCATGTCAAAATCGATTCACCTGTTTTTCGCCTACACACAAATGCAACTGTTATTTTATTAATAACATTCTCGATCGCTGTTACGACGCGGCAGTACGTAGGAAATCCCATAGACTGTGTACATACAAGGTAGGATCGATTAGGTTGCTAACAAAAACACATTTGAATCACTAACCTATAATTTATCCCGAACACCTACTACTTAGCAAAGAGTAACAAATACCCACACAAATACAAACACACACACACACACACATACAAATATAAACCGAAACACTGTATGAATGCATGCATCCAAATGCACCATCGAGAGAATGAAAAGACTATTCTTCTACTATTTAGCTTTCTCGAGTTGGCTTTAATACATATTTATTTATATAAGCATACATACATATGCGTATATATCTACATGTAAGCTTGTTCCCACTCACACAAACACCCCCCAAGTCCAGAAAAAAAAGTCCAACTCTCTTATCTTGCACAAGTCTCTTATGTAGTCTCCTATCCGAGTTAGTGCTTTGAAAAGCGCTGAACGTTGCCACTGCATTGTTTCGCACAATAAGTGGGCGGGCCAGACGTTTAGTGCATTTCAAAGTTTTCAGCTCACGCATACATACTTTGTATGTATGTATGTGTGTGTGTGTTTTTTTTTTTTGGTATGAATGCCCCTGGTATGCCCCTGCACGCAAATCACATGTTGACACCTCGTGCCATATTAATAATGCTCTTCGTTTGTTTTTCAACTACATCGTTCCGGCCTGCAGAGACATTCCCGAAGATGTCCTCAACACATATTGTTGGATACATTCGACATATACAGTGGTGGACGCTTTCATGAAGAAGCAAGGTTCCGAGGTGCCTTTTCCTGGGGTTCATAATTCACAGGGACGTGGACCTCTCACAATAAAGCATACAAAATATTATCAATGGGTGGCGTTTACGCTATTTTTTCAGGTGAGTGACACACATATGTATGAAAGTGTTTTTAATTGTTTGTTAATTTCATATAAAGTACGAGTAGATATATTATATTAGATTGGGTGTGGGAAA